TACAGAGATCCACCCCCCTGGAGAAAATGAAGTAAGCAAAGAAGCAAGTTTCCCTCTTGCTCTGGAAGAGTCATCATGGGGCTTCTCTGGAGTAAATTGGACTGCAGTCTCAACCCGCATGGAGAGCGATCAGCGCTGTTTCCTAGCCTGCAAAAACACTAAAGCCACACGATCCCGGATCTGCTTGGTTTTCACCCCGTAGACGATGGGGTTCAACATGGGGGGCACAATGGCAAAGAGGTTGGCCAGCAGGATGTGAACCGGGCGAGGGATGCTGTTCACGGCAAACCTGTAGGCAAAGATTGAGAAAAAGGCCGGGACGTAAAACATTAGAATGACGCAGATGTGAGAGCCGCAGGTGCCGAGGGCTTTGGCCCGGGCATCTCTGGACGGGAGCCGGAAGACAGCACGCAGGATCAGCACGTAGGAGACAGCAATGAAGACGGTGTCTGCGCCCGTGGTTAGGAGGGCCACCGTCAGGCCATACCAAATGTTGAGTGTGATGTCTGCACAGGCCAGCCGGGCGATCCCCATGTGCTCGCAAAACGTGTGGGAAATGACGTTGGGGCCGCAGAAGGGCAGCCTCAGCAGGAGGAAGGTCAGAGAGGCCATCAGGCAGAAAGCCCTGACCGCTGCCGCCACGGCAATCTTCGCTACCCGCGAGTGTGTCAGCACAGTGCTGTACTGCAGCGGGTTGCAGATGGCGACGTACCGGTCGTACGCCATGGCCAGCAAGACGGCCGACTCGGCTACAAAGAGGAAGTGGATGATGAACATCTGCGTGACGCAGGCCTCAAAGGCAATCTCCTTGGCTCGGAACCAGAAGATGCCGAGGGTTTTGAGCATGGTGGTGGTGCAGAGCACGAGGTCGGAAGACGCCAGCATGGCCAGGAAGAAGAACATGGGCCGGTGGAGGCTGCGCTCCTTGACGATGACGAAGAGGAGGAGGCCGTTCCCCAGCAGGGCCAGGAGGAACATGGAGCAGAAGGGGATGGAGAGCCAGGCGTGAGCCTCTTCCATGCCCTGGACACCGACCAGGATACACTTGACTATATGGAAGCGCGTGTGATTGACAGCTGCCATGGGTGGCAAAGGATCCTCCCCTCGAGCTTCCCCAGCTTCCCCTGTGAAAACAGACAGGCAGGAAGTGTGATGGTCAAAATATGGGTTTAGGGTTGCCAAC